GTGGGAGCTATCTTCTACTCGTGAAGTTTTGTGGGGCTATCAAATTTGAAAGAGCAGGCTTATAGTTGAAAATATAAATGGTTTGATACCATAGCACTGTTGATATCCGTAGGTCCCAATCGGAGGCTCATACAGACTGATAGATGTGCCGATGAGCAACTGCATCAACAGTGGAATCAACAAGGTATACATCCTCACTCAATACAACTCAGCATCACTAAATAGGCATCTTGCTCGTGCCTACAACCTCGGTAATGGAGTCAGTTTTGGAGATGGTTTTGTCGAGGTAACTACTTTGTTTTTTTTATTTCTCTCCTTTTACTTTATAGCGAGTGATTACTGTCTATAAACTCAAGCATAGACATGCTTCGCTTGCCAATGTTCTGATGAAATGGGAATAAAATTTATGTTATAAATAGTCAGTCAAAGTTTGTTTCTCTGTCATCAGGCCCTGGCAGCTACTCAAACTCCTGGAGAGGCAGGTAAAAAGTGGTTCCAGGGCACCGCTGATGCTGTGCGGCAATTTCATTGGCTTTTTGAGGTAATCATTTATATATTAGATGCAATCTGCACGTGAAATCCTACTAGCTTGAAATTAAATCAAACCACAGGTAATGCAATTCTTCCCTGTTACAATATGAAAACGTACAGAAGAGGACTAGAAAGGTTAAAAAATAGAGGATACCTGGTGCTACAATGAATTTCTACTCTCTACCACGAGCACGTACCGGTTTAGTTGGAAACTTAAACAGCACAGATTGCCAGTAAGGCTTTCCATTCTCAGAATCCTTAAAGGGAATTAGGGTGATTCACTGAGTCGAAGACATGTCCACATTTTTTTTCTCTCGCCTTTTTGTTGCATAAACTAGCCTGCATGCTGTTTATGAACGTTTGATTATTACATCAAAAGAAGATGAAGAGTATATCATAAGGAATGCTGTATATAGAAACAAGAGGTTAGTTTGTATTGCATCGAAGCAGAGGCAGAACAGAAGTAGCAAGAGATTACAAAATAACCAGTTTTTGAGCCAGCGACTACCCTTCGTGCCTCCTTGTTTTTTGAGATTTCTTTTCTCCCTCGGATAATAGGAATCCTTTAAGTTCCAATAGTGGAAGAAGGTTTATGGCCACATCGTAATTCATGTTGCCTTGGAAGATAAAATACCAACTTGCCTCTAGTTAATCGACCATTGAGACTATACCTAAATGAAAAGTCGCTGCTAAGAAATTTATACTTTTGTCTCTGCTATCTTCGCGTGTCCTGAATTTGGTGATTTTAGAAAAAATCTAAAACTTTTCAGGATGTTACACAAATGTTTTGACTATGTACTTTAACTTCGAAGGACCCAAGAAGCAAGGAGATTGAGGATGTGCTAATTCTTTCTGGAGATCACCTGTATCGAATGGACTACATGGACTTCGTGCAGGTGAGAAGAAGTACATTTCACTTGACATGGTTTTTATTCACTAAAATTGAGTGTGGAAATCAAGTTCTACTTAATCTATAAGCATCAGACATTAATGTTAGTCTCTCGTTTCCAGAATCACCGGCAGGGTGGTGCAGATATTACTCTCTCTTGTCTACCGATGGATGATAGGTCTGCATAAGTTTAATCCAAGCTAAGCTCTTACAATAGCAATTTCTCATTTCAGGGGACTCGACTTTGATATTTACCCTGTTGTCACTTTGCTTATATCTACTCATGGCAAATTTAATATCTGAGTTCATGTTCAAAGTTGATGAATCGTGTTTTTGAGACTTTCCAATATTTACATGATAGCCGGGCCTCAGATTTTGGTCTCATGAAGATTGACAATAAGGGGAGAGTCCTTTCATTCAGTGAAAAACCGAGGGGGGCTGACCTGAAGGCAATGGTAAGTTTCAGATTTTGCATTGCTGAACAAACCTATAAATCTGAGTGGTTAAGCACTTATGCTTACGCTACTTTTACTTACACTTCAGGAAGTCGATACGACAGTATTGGGGCTGTCGAAGGAAGAGGCTTTAAAGAAACCATACATTGCTTCAATGGGAGTGTACGTCTTCAAGAAAGAGATACTTTTGAACCTTTTAAGGTACTACTAGCCATTTGCATTATCAGTGATTGTCAGATGTTGAGCATTTGAAGTTGTTTTTATATTTTCTTACGTTTTACCAGGATTTAATAACAAGAAAAAGAAAGCAAAGAAAAATCGATGCTCTTCCATGTAAACATGCACAAAAACATACGCTACACCTAACATGAGTAAAGGACTGCTGAGTGCTATAAATTGTTGTTGAGTCAGGTGGCGTTTTCCAACTGCAAATGACTTTGGATCAGAGATAATTCCAGCTTCGGCAAAAGAGTTTTATATGAAGGTATGCACTGAATTCTTCTGGAGTTTGACTTAATCAGTTTCAAAACCAGTGTTAGAGCACCACAAGGTATTCACCCCCAATGTCTCAAGAGAATATGCCTCTATATTTACATGAAATGAACACTCATGCACATTTAGGGTTTCGTTATTGTCTCAGGATCAAAGAGTCGGAAATAGTGGGAATACCAGATAGTAGTGTGATAGATAGACATGTTTTTCTATACTTTCAAAACAGAAATTCACTTTAAAATTATTTTAAAAATGAATTTATTTTAAGTTTCGTCTCTGTCTCTTCAATAAAATATTTTTCTATCTTCTTTATACCAATCTTTTCTATTCTAGACAATAACCAAACGCAACAAATCACTATTGTTTATAAAAAAATGTTGACTCTGAGCAGGCGTATCTCTTCAATGATTATTGGGAAGACATAGGAACCATCAGATCCTTCTTTGCAGCAAATCTTGCCCTCACTGAGCATGTAAGTACCTGAACAAATCTCCACACTTTTCCTAATCTTTTTGGGCACAAATAGGCTACATTTGTACTGGGAGAAGTAAATTCAAGAAAATAGTAATCATAACTTGACCATTCTATATATCAAAGCAGCAAAAACAAGAAATTTATCAAGGCTATGACTGATAGTATCTTACAATACAATCACTAATGCAAACTGCTGCTTCGCTGCTGAATGCCTGTAGCATTACTCGTGATTTACTGATATTCATGATTGAGAGACATGATGATGCTGTCTTAATAACTTTTCAGCCTCCAAGGTTTAGTTTCTATGATGCAACAAAGCCAATGTATACATCACGAAGAAACCTACCCCCATGCAAGATTGACAATAGCAAGGTTAGTAGAAGGGCGTTCATGTTGCCTCTTAAAGCTCCCTAATCGACAAGTTACATTTCAAGTGTTCTCTTGATGTTACCTGTGCTCCGCTGCTATAAGGTAAAGTAAACGGATGCATTGCCATTTTATCCCATTTTTCCTTTGCATGCAGATAGTTGATTCAATCATATCTCATGGAAGTTTCTTAAACAACTGCTTCATCGAACACAGTGTAATTGGTATCCGATCTCGAATAAACTCAAATGCCCACTTACAGGTTTGCACACAATAATATTATTTCAATTATAGCATCTATGAGCTAGTTTCTGAAAACAGTGTTATAAGACCAACTTGACTTCTGACCTGGCCCAAGACTTATGGCGTGTATTCGGCAAGTCAACTCACGGGTCGGTAGATTGACCTGAGTTTTGAATATTTAGAAAAAAAACACCACAACAATGTTGTTTTGATTAAAAAAAAAGTTCGGCATGAAACCGACCAAAGCTAGGCTTCGGGTTGGCATGTTATCAGATTGACCCTCCGAGCAAAGCGAAGTTTTAACATACTAGTATTGCAGTTTCTGCTATTTCTGTTGTGAGCTAATATTGTTCTGAGCGGACACATGTTCCTATGTAATTTTATTTTCTGTGATGGCCAAATAAATGAAGGATACAGTAATGCTTGGTGCTGACTTTTATGAAACGGAAGCTGAAGTGGCATCAGTGGTTGCTGAAGGAAGTGTACCGGTTGGGATAGGAGAAAACACAAAAATCAAGTGAGAACAAGCTTATATGAAACCTTTCTTGTCTTTTGAACGCGCTAAATGAAACCAGTTTTATGTTTCTTGTTGTCTCTTAGAGCATGAACGATTTTCTTTTGCAGAGAATGCATAATTGATAAAAATGCCAGAATTGGGAAGAATGTCGTTATTGCAAATTCAGAGGTATGTTTCAACAAAAAATTATTTCATCTTTCATTTAACTTGCGTTAATTCAATTAGATAGAGTAAATAGTATGCTTTATCGTTAAGAATTTGATAGACAATCATCTCAATTAAAAAATTTAAATCATTATAGTTTTATATTAGTGTCTAAGAAACTTAAAAATCGTCAGTGATTCAATTGCTTACACCCTGAATTTTTTGGAAATTGTATCCAGAAATTGTCATTTATCAAACAGTTTTGGTCGAAAAGCTTGCTTACTAGTTGCCAGTTTTTGTTTGTGAACGGATTTTTCAGGGCATACAAGAGGCCGATAGATCCATGGAAGGCTTCTACATCCGATCTGGTGTTACGGTCATATTAAAGAACTCTGTTATTCAAGATGGAACTGTAATATAATCTTTATTGTTATTTCTTCCATCCTGTTTTTGTCGATCAGGATAGTAGCGAAGATGGTATGAACGCAACATGACTAATGGCAACCACCACCTTGTTTACGGTGTGAATATGCAAAGCTGAGCTCCGCCTGCGTTAACTATAAAGAATTTTAAAGCCCTAAATATCAAAAACTTTTTGACCATCGAAGATATTAAACATCAAAACTCTTGTCCCAATTGAGCATAAAATTAAAAATTATAATGTTCGTTGATTATCAAAACCATAATCAAAACAAAACTCAGTTCCGAGTAGGTTTTTTTATTTCAAATGATTCAAAATGCTTTATGATTTTGGGTTTTTGTTTTTATTTTCTTGTTGATTTTTTTTATTTTGGGTTCTTTCAGAAATTTAGCCTTTAATATATATATATTATTTTAGGGTTCTTTTCTGGATAGTGAAACAAATAAGCAAGGAGAGCTGGTATCTGGTATCTTGAGTCTCAACAAATAATTGAAGTGACAAACAGTTACACGGCCACGAAATAAATAAAAAGAAGTTCAAGGGAAAGAAAGAAGGCAAATAGGAGAAAATAAAATAAAAAGATAAGACAACGCTGAGTAAAATATATATACACACAGCATCATAGATGACACTTCCAGTCCTTAATTATAAATGCCACGTCTCTTCCTACATCTTGATAGAAGTTAGAATCCACGCCATCATCTGAAAACCTTCAAACAAGCAAGCAGCATATCTGCATTTCATTTGCATATCCGTCACCCCCACAAACTTTATTGCACCGCCATCAACGGAGAAAACTCCATCCCACCTGGACATGCATGACAGACCGAAACTCGTTGATGGCCAGGAAAAAGGCTTGCAGGTGCACTAAAGACCCATCACTGGACATATAGCACCGATACTAATCTTCAATAAAGAGATGCCTATGATCAAGCTTGTACAGCATTAAGCAATTGCATTCAGGAAAGCCACTAAACTAAGGTACATTGCTATCCGTTTTCTTATGTAGTTCAATAAAACAGCTCGATGCATCAAGGCTTTTGAAGAACAGGAGACTAAGTTGAAGGAGGCGGAAAAGAAAAGAAAAACCTCAAAACCACGCACGCGCGCAGAAGAAAGGGTGTCATTCTTTTAGCAGCCAGTTAAGGGGACTCTGGTTTTAAGGTCAATCATTTAAAAGTTCTGGGTTCGACAATCCAATTCCAAGAGACCACCGATTACCTAGTAATAAAATATCCATGAAAAGGACACATGCCTTTGTTGTTACTTTCAGGATTACATTTCATACTTGTGCAGTGGGGCAGGGTACTTTTGCAGTTTATACCATGCTCCAATAAAATTATGGTTCTGGACGGTTCAGATTTTCTTTTGCAATTCAATAAATTATAACAAAATCAGGGTCCATTAAGTGTCGATTTCTAAGAGAGGCAAATTCAAACCTGCTCAATCATGAGTCATCATTCACAAGCTATTTTGGTGTCAAAGCTACTGAGGCACAGCGCAAATGCTTGGAATGCGGAGATTGGATAGCGGTAATCCATGGTAAACAAATCCTTTCCAACTTTGCCAAATTGGAGGATGATATTCTCATGTTCTGGCCCAGCTGGTCCATTTTCTGGGGAAACAACCAACTGAAAGTTTTTCACTGAAGCAACTGTAACTCGTCCATGGAAGTTTAAACACCAACACTGGAGCTGTTCATGCCACCTTGGAGCCTTGTTTTTCAGCACCAAAGCTCCTTCTCTCTGACTGGACAAGGATCCTGATCGAAAGCTCTCAACTCGGTTTGACTTTGACCGGAAAAAGGGCAGTGATGGTAAGAAATCTACACTGTGGTGAGAAAACTCGGTCTGTGTGGGAGCTATTCCACCAGGTTCAATGGCAGCAGCGGGGATGGCATCCATAATGCAATGCATTCTCCTAGGACCCCTGCTTGATATGTGAGAGTTTTAAAATAATTAGCTAAGCTTCTAGGAAAGCATATGCTTAGTGATTCATGGTCCAAAAAATTAATGCAGATCACAATTTTATTTGATGGAAACGGCCAAGACAGGAAGGAGATAGCAGTCCATTCACTTATTTCCAAAGACAAGTCTGTAAATTGTCGGATGTGCCTAAATCTTTACCTGGAACCCAATACATTCAATTCATATGAGATGCTAGCCACTGGGTAATTGCCAGTAGGGACTCTTGGAGAAACTTGTTTCAAATTTACTAGCCTTGAGGAGCGACTTTTTGTCATTTTGGCTCCAGCATGAGGGGGCTGTCCATCAAAGACCGTGAACTTGGTTCTGAGAAAATTGGATCTTCACAGGAGAGAAAATGTTAAAGATTCCAGCCAGTAAGAGAGCTAAGAAAACTTATTCTGTGGGCCAATTATATCATACCTAAGTTTCCCAACATAAGCACCGCTTCCCTTTGACATATCATCAGTAACTAGAGAAATGATATAATCCGTGCAGGTGGGGCGTCTAAACTTGCGCGCAGCAAGAAGGAACTTCCCGTCTTCAGTTAATGCTGTGTTAAGAAACAAACAAATTCAAAAGGTTGAATTCTCCAAAGCTCAAAAAGCTACCAGTAAAAGCCAGGGCCTCTTAAAATCCAGTGGTCAGCCAAATTGACTGCCTCAACAAACAATTTAAAAAAAACAAGGACTAACAACGATGCACGGATAATGTGAACCATGAATCTAGTTCGCTACATGGGCAACTTAGGAACATAGTGACCACCATTAAGATCCTACTCACCATTATTTAGACCGAGATAAAGACGGTATGTTTGAGCGGATCTGCACCGCTTTATGAAGCACTGAAGGAGAAAATCCCTTGGACCAGGCTGCAAACAATAAGAATCAAATGAGACAATGCACGAAAGGAGTTCCAAGAGGAGAAAAGAACAAACCAATCATGAAATCCAAACTCATGAGGTGGCCAGGCAAAAAATTCCCAAATTACAAACAATAACCCCAATTCCATATCAGACTCATGGCATCATTAAATCAATTGGAGGGCTGTCACTGCTACCATCAATCCAACGTATTTAGCACAGGGCATAATAGTTACAGGCGTTGCACCATGGTGAGGAAATTTATATATCAAAGAAGAAACAAAATCAGCATCACTACACAAAAGTGGAAGCTATTCATCATTGTGGACCTACACCGTCGAAGCAAAAGGAGGTCCAAAAAGGGTATTCACTACTCTTTCAAGGGTGTTTTCGACTAAGTTCCTCCCTAAAACCTGCAGAAGGTAGTGGAATTGTCTTATTCTGAAAACACGCGGTCCCAAATCCCTTGTCATTGTAATTAGCATTTGGACGAAATGGTTGAAAACCCAAGCATAGAAATATCCTTGACAAGCGAGATTTCAATAAACACCACTACTCATCGTTTATCAGACATACCATTTCCCACTCAATCTGCCTAAATCTTCTGTTGACAAGCGAGATTTCAATAAACACCACTGCTCATCGTTTACCAGACATACCATTTCCCACTCAACCTGCCTAAATCGTAATCAATTAGAAAAAAGTTTGTGGGAGATGACCAAATCACAGTTATCAAACAAACCACAACTATAATATCACCAGTAAAAAAAAAATAAAAAATTGAAATCGTGGTCTACAAATGAATTCTTCTGTTGCATCTTTTAGCCCCAAACATTTTCTACTTGATTGTAAGTTTGCAACCTTGACCATCACTCGAAAGTCTAAAGTCTAAACAGCATTCTTCACAAAAGCAAGGTAAGAATAACATATAAATCTCAAGACACAAAATTTATCTCATAAATCCATTTAGAATGACAATCATTTAACAATAGCCAAGACCAATTAAAACCCACTATAGATAACCAGAAATGAATTCAATTCGTCATCAATCTATTATCAAATCACTAAACTAAAAAAAAAAACACTTTCCCAGAGAAATTAGAGATCAAAACACAGAAACCAAAACCATGAATCCCGTTTATAATTAACTTACAAAAACTCAGGATTAAAGCAAACAAAAGTACATAAAGCTACCTGCTTGACAGATATCGGGAAAGTGAGTTTGCCAGAAAGTTCAGGGACTTTAACTAACTCTTTAGTTATACGTCTCCAACTCCTACAAACCCCAGCACAAGCCACCACATTTTTTCTTGGTGGCCAGCTGCTCTCCGATTCTTCTATTCTAATAAGCACTTCTCTTAATAATTCTTGTGGCAAATTAGCCCAACATGAAGTAGTTTCTGCACCACATCCAACTCCAAACAGACTCAGGTCTGGTGCTGAGCTGTACTGGACCACCCTGTGTGATCTTGACCTGTTAATTATGCTCTTAATTGCTGACATTTTTTTTCTGTGGAAATCTGAGAGTTCTAAGGTAAAAAAAGAACCGGGTTTTTCATGTTTGGTTTTGTTGCAGAGAGATCTGGGATTAGGGTGTGTCAGAGACAGGGAGGGAGATGGGTTGTGGATGTTGATGGAGGAGAGGAGGTCAGGGAGAGGGAGAGGGCTATCCTATAAATATGATTAACAAGAAGAACCCCCTTTATTAGTAGAGAGTAATTACACTCCTCCTAACCTTATCTTTCTTTCTTTTCTTTTCTTTTTCCTTTTTTTTAATAATATTTTACTAACTACGAAGTACTAACCTTATATATATATATATATATATTTAGGATTAGGTTAGTTGAGTTAGAATCAACCCGCCGGCTGTTAAATTAACCTGCCAAATTGATTTGTGTTTTAAAACAATGATTGGAATTCTTTTGTATTTATTTCAATATTCATTAAATTTAAATTGTTAAATTAAAATTGAGTAATTTAAATTATTTAATAAAATGATAACAATTTAATTTATTGCATTTTCCTTTTCTTATATAATTTAAATTATTAAATTTAAAAATTAACATTGAAATTTGAAATAATAATAATAATAATAATAATAATGTTAACAATCTAGTTATCATTTATGATAAATTAATGTCAATTTTATTAAAGAGCATTTTAGAATTTGTTTGAGAAAATCTCATGAATTTAAAAGAAATTCTTTTTAAAAAATAATTTTTCCCTCCATGAATTTATCACGCAATATGAATATCTTGCCATTTAAATAATTTATCATGCAATTTAAATAAGAATAATAATAAATAAATAAATAAATAAGAGTTATCGTGCAAAAACTTTTGGAAGCATTAATCGTAAAATATGAAAGAATTTTAATTTCTCCTTTAATTGTGAAAATCTTCAAAGCTTACACGCAGGGATAGAGGTCTGTCTGTGGCATGTGTGATTCTGAATATCTCAAAACAAAATGAATGCCAGGTGTCTTTCGTGTGAATTTCTATATAAAATTGGTGCCGCATTTAATTATAATTATTTTAGTTATTGGGTTTGGATTTTGTTATTATATTCTTCCAACTCCATTGTGGACTTTTTTCCTTTTCATTTTTTCTTCAATTAAACAAATATCTTATTTAGAGTTTATTTTTATATTAAATTTAAAAATTATAATTTTAGATATTAAATTTTATATTTCATCCAAATCATTCACTTGTAAATTATAACGTTGTTGCAGATAAAAATACCCCCTTCTTATTTTCTTAAACATTGAGATAAAACTATTATCTTTTTTGTTTAAGATTTTTGAATTATACAAATTGTATAGGATATTGATTTTTTTTCCAATGAGTTACAAAAAAAACAATGGTGATAATATATATATATATATAGTATTAATTTGATTTCAGATTTTCATAAGATAATTGTAATAATAAAAATATAGAAATGATATCTTATTCGAAATCTTATATTACTTAAAATGTTACTTTCCCATATTCTCTGCGTAGAAAGAATGATTTTAAGGGGGGAAGTGGCCATTGACCATAAACTTTTACAAGAGAGAGAGAGAGAGAGAGAGAAAATCCGTGAAAAATGGAAGTGACAATTCTAACCATACTTGTTAATCATAAAAAGTAAATCATAAGTCATACCCTCCTCTAATTTACAATTATTAAAAAAAATTAATGTTAAAACTATATTTTCTAAAATATCTATATACCCATCTTTTTTTAGAGATATTTGAAGTAATAATATTATTAGTAATATTATCAATTTGAATTGAATAATAACATTAAAAACTACTAAAAATAAAATTAAAAAGTACTAGAAATTTTATAAAAGTATCAAAGATAAAAATACAAAATATAAAAAACTAGAATCATATTTAAAAATATAATATTTAGTAAATTAAAATTAAAAAAAATTATTATTTTTATCAATTTTAATTGAATGATGAAATTAAAAATTACTAAAACTTTTACAAAATAATCAAGGTTAAAAAATAGAAATTCAAATAATAAGAATTGCATTGGAAAATATAATATTTGGTAAATTATAATTAAATAATAAAGTTAAAAATAAATAAAATTCATGTAAAAGAACCAAGGCCATAAATTAAAGATAAAAAAAGTTAAAGACTAAGGTGGAGAATGTCCATAACCAAAAGGATAAAGCTATATTTTTTATGGGAGTAGAGGAAAAAAAAAAAACTATCGACATCAAACTAAATTACTAATTAAAACATGTGTTATACCAATAAAACTTTTAATAACACAAAAAAATGATATTTTTGAATGTAAAAGGGTCACCTGCATTGTCTAAAGACATAAATACCTCCCACATGCCATAAAGTATGCCATACTCATGCTCATCTATTTAGTTTTTTTTTTAGATAAATACAGAATTGCTACTAGGTTGACTTTCTAATTACAAAAAACAAATTATTGTGAAAATCCTAAAATGCCCCTTGACCTTGGACCTTTTTTTTAAAATGATTTAAAGTGTATTTTTGTAGCTTCATTGTTCATTTGAATTATTTTTTATTTTTTATTTTTTAAAAAATATCAAAGTGTCTCTCAACTTTAATTAAAATAACCAAAAAAAAAACTTTGTAAAAATACCCTTCATACCGGGTTTGATTTTTGTATCCTAGAGATATTCTGGTTATTCTACTATGTAATAAGATAAAAAAATATTTAATCATTTTTAGTCAATTTAAAATTACACAAATGGTGAAAGGACTTCAATGACTTTGAAATCTAGTGTCAATTTTTTTGGACAGCGAAGTAAAATTATTATTGCACTATCTTTAGTAAAAACAATGTTTTTGAAAGTGGGGCTATAGTATTTTTCCAAGGGGTTTTAGTTTTTTTTTCAAAAACAATATCTCACAAAACCATCATTCAACATTTGTTTTTGGACAAGCTATGCATATTTATATTTTATTTTTATTAGTTGGGATTTTTTGATTAAATGAAAAAAAAAAAGAGAAGCTTTGTTGGTTTCAGTTAATTTCAACGTATCTTTTTTCATTTCAAGACCGATGGATAGAAAACAATTACTTATGTTTTTATTTGTGATTTTGATTTTTAATTGATAGACATGTTTTATTTTTATGAATTATTATTTAGAAAAACTAGAGATTGAACCCAATCATGTATAGATTTGATGTTTTACTTAGCCAACAGCTCATACATAGTTAGGAATATTTTTTCTCTATTAAATCAAAGATATTTTCTACCTAATTAAATAAAAAATATTTTATCTTTTATCGTGTAAAAGATTTAAAAATGATTGTCAGGGTGACTTTTGAGTCCTCGTCTAGAAAATAAAAATAATAAAAAATGGGTTATCATTGGTTCTTCATAAAAATAAGTTCTCAATCTTTCTTCTTCATAATATATTTATTTTTAGAGTTTCTTTTTAAATATTATTTTATTTTTAAAAAAATATTTATTTAAATATTAAAAATTCTCTAAATCCATACAATTTTTTTTACAGGTATCAAGTACCAATTACCGGTTATTTTGACAATAAAAAATCAAATTATTAAAACTAAAAAATTAACTAATTATCCAATAAAACCACTTAAAATTTTCAAAATATCATCAGTTTAATAACATTTTTAATATAAAATTAATCAAATATTTAATATTTATTTTAAACTTAGTTACATATAAATATAATTATAACCAAACATTCATCGATTTATTAATATAATTTTTATTTTTAGCATTTGTTACTGTTGTTGAGACTTTAACGTGCATTTGGTAATCAAAATCAAATTTCCCCACAACATCACCGGGCAACACGCAAAAGCGTGTTTTTTGTGCTTCTGGGTCAAATATAAGCAGCGTTTTAAAACCCGTACACGCTGTAAAGTTGACCAGAGCCGCGGTTGATCCCGAATCAGACCCAATATTAGTTGAAACAAAAATTGAAAAAACAGATGATTTTGTTAAAATTTCAAGTTGATATGGTGGCCTTGTGGATTTAGGTCTTACCTGGCTATCAACTCTTTAATTTTTTTTATATTTTTTATCAAAATAATATTGTTTTAATTTTTTAGACTCAACTCATGATCAAGTTTTATCCTTACATTAATTTCTATCTCAAATTTTAAAACTATAAATACAAGTACTAGTATAATATAGTTACTAGTTACGGGACTCGTGTTTACTTGCGAGTAAAATATTTTTATTTTAAAAAAATAATTATATATACAAGTTTTTTCAACAGAAGTTTAAAAAATCTAACTTCAAATAAAAAAATTATATATACATTTAATCTAATAAATTAAGAACGATATATGCAATCTAACTTCAAATAAAAAAATTATATATACATTTAATCTAATAAATTAAGAACTATATATGCAATCTAACTTCAAATAAAAAAATTATATATACATTTAATCTAATAAATTAAGAACTATATATGCGTATAAATAAATAAAAAGTCATTAATGATACTTAAAAATAAAAATAAAAAAATCAATCTGTAGATGTAAATCAAGATATTTAATATTAAAAGATAAGATATTTATATAATTGTATTTGCTAAATTTATTTATTAAAATATTTTTTTATACATAAGTAATTGATAACACAAATAGAGATACAAACTAAATTGATCAAATACAACAAAAGGGGAAAAAACTATCATGCAAAATTGCACATAATATAAATATTATATGAAAATATTTTTTTTAATTTTAAAAAATAAAATTCATCCATTCAAAAGAAGAAACATTTATAGAAAAATCAGAAAAAACTTTTTAAATTTAAATGCATAACTAAAAAATTATTATTATTTAAAGATGCTCTCAAAATAAAATGAAAGAGAGACAATATACTAATTTAAATAAAAATTAATATAGAAAGAGAAAAAACTATAAAAAATTATTATTTTTAAAAAAAAATTTAAAAAAAAGCTAAAATTAGGTTTTACTGTGCTTGACAAACCATCCCCATAGCCCATTTTGTCAAGGCAGGCTCATGCAATGGAGCCCTTACCCTGAATGTTTTTTTTTTTTTAAATCAGACAATATATCATTTCATTTGCCTATATTTTTGTTATTATGGTGGCTAAAAAAATTAAAGTTTAAGTTATGTTTACCTTAAAACTCATTTTTTCAATCTATATTTGACCTAAATCACCTATAAAAATCATAGGATAACAAGCTTATTTATAATATTAAAAAACTGCCCAAAAAAC